GCCCACCCTGCATCCGCCCTGCAGCACCAGTATCCCACTGCACCCCTGACAGTGCCGGGGCCCGACTCTCTCAGGCTGTGCACCTTGTGGCTCCATTGACACCGGTGCAAAGAGGTGTAAAACATTCCCGGTCTGATAGGGCCGCGTGTTACACTCACGTAGCACCGAGGGACTGGGAATGAGGACACAAGGTGCAGCGTGGCGGGGGGGTTATGGTCCAAGGATTTGTAGAAGGAGCAATAGAAAACGAGCGCTGGTTTCCCTCTGCTCAGTGTGAGATTCCAGCGAAGACTCGGCTTCCCCATCACCCCGGCCATGGATTTACTTACAATGGAAGGAACTAAGGATCCAAGCAATGACCTAGGGGAGACACGGGATGAGCTATCTAGTCCTATATGTGCCCATCCATCTAATCTAGCTAAGGGTTTTATCTTGCTGCCCATCACCGCAGTATCTGGGCATCTTCTATGAAAAATTGATAGCAATAGCAAAGTGCCTAGTGGGATTCCTGGAGTCTCTGACACTTCTCCCTTTGGTGGGGGCGGTCTTTGGTTGGGGGAGGGTTTCCGGTTGGTTGGTAGGTACGAGAGTAGGGATAGGAGGGGGCATCAGTGTTGGGGTTTAGGGGCAGGAAGGGGGCAGAATGTCGGCCATACTTACAGGATGGGGGACTCGATCCTGGGGAGCAGAGACACTAAAAGAGATTCGGGGGTTGTGGTGGATAATCAGCTGAGCATGAACTCCCAGGGCAATGCTGGGCCAAAAGGGTTAATGCCAGCCTGGGAGGCAGAAAGAGGAGAATGTCGAGTTGGAGCAGCGAGGTTATTTCACCTCTGATTTGACACTGGTGTGACGGTTGCTGGAATCCTGCACCCGGTTCTGGTGCCCACAAGTCAGGAAGGATGTTGATACACTGGAGAGGGTTCAGAGAAGAGCCAGAAACATGACTGAAGAATTAGAAAACCTCCCTTAGAGTGAGAGACTCAAGGAACCCAGTTTATTTAACTTAACAAAGAGAAGGCGAAGGGGTGACTTGATCACAGTCTGTCAGTATCTACATGGGGAACAACTATTTAATAATGGGCTCTTCAGTCTCGCAGAGAAAGGTCTAACAGGATCCCACGGCTGGAAGTGGAAGCCAGACAAATTCAGATTGAAAATAAGGCATACATTTTTAACAGTGAGAGTAATTCGCCATTGGAACACTGTACCCAGGGTCATGGTGGATTCTCCATTGCTGACAATTTTTTACTCAAGACTGGATGGTTTTCTAGAAGATCTGCCCTAGGAATTACATTGGGGAAGTTTTCAGGCATGTGTTATACCGGAGGTCAGACTAGATGATCACACTGGTCCCTTCTGGCCTTGGAATCGATGGGGGTTGGGGTTTAATTGGACAGAAGCTGGTCAATGCTGAGGATTACGGGGTCAGTGTCAGGGTTTGGGAGCAGGAGGGGTGGCTGTTGGCAAGGCAAGTGTAAAACTATCACTAGGGAGGCCAAAATGAATTTGAAGAGCAACTAGCAAAAGACAAAAAACCTCACAGCAATAAACATTTCAAGTCCAGCCGAAGCAAGAAGCCTGCTGAACAGTCAGGAGGGCCACTGGACAATCAAGCTGCTAAAGGAGCACTCTAGGAAGATACGGTTGTTGCAGAGAAGCTAAAGGAATTCTTTGCATCGATCTTCATTGCAGAGGATGTGAGGGAGATTCCCACACATGAGCCATTCTGTGTAGGTGACTGTAGCGGAGTGACGACTCACGGGCGCGGCGTCTCCTGCTGTCGCCCTGGGAATTAGCTCTTTTTGCAGCCTTGGAGCACCCTCTGCAGGCCGGTGTCTCGCCTTTCGCTGGCCCCATGTCCCTCCCAGACCATGGGGCCCCTTTGCCTAGGGGTTCTGCCCCAGCAGTACCCCCACAGATGTCTGGGTCTCCCCTCCCCAGGGAACTCCCAACTCTCTACCCTCACCTCACCTCAGTCTATGGCCACTGCCAGTCATCAACTAGCCCCCGTTCCCTGGAGCAGACTGCAGTGTAAACGCCACTCATCATAGGCAAGAGGGGTTTGGACCTGCTGCCCTTGCCTAACCCCCAGACTGCACCACTGCAGCCCCAGTGCCTTCTCTGGGCCCTTCTCAAGGCCTGCAGCCTGGGTAGTTGCCTAGCTGGAGCTCCCCAGCACTGCTCCACTCAGGCCCCCTATTGCTCTCAGGCAGCCGGGCCCTGGTCTCTCACAAGCTAAGGAGAGATAGCCTTAAGGCCTGCCTAACAGCCCTTTTATAGGGCCAGCTGAGGCCTGACTGGGGCGTGGCCCCACCTGTGGCTACTTCCCCCAATGAGCCTATTCTTACTGGTTCCCTGCCACAGCCGGCTCCCAGGGCTGTTTTAAGGCCTTCAGGGCAGGAGCAGGGTTACTTCCCCGCTACAGTGACAAAGCTGAGGAACTGTCACAGATTGAGGTGTCGTTACAGGAGGTTTGGGGACAAACTGATAAATTAAACAGTAACAAGTCACCAGGATCAGATGGGATTCACCCAAGAGTTCTGAAGGAACTCAAATATGAAATTGCACAACCACTAAGTGTGGTATGTAACCTATTGCTTAAATCAGCCGCTGTACCAGATGGCTGGAGGATAGCTAATGTAATGCCTGTTTTTAAAAAAGGTTCCAGAGGCGATCCTGGCAATTACAGGCCAGTAACCCTGACTTCAGTACCAGGCAAACTGGTTGAAACTATAACGAAGAACAGAATGATCAGACACAGAGGAACGCGATATGTTGGGGAAGAGTCAGCATGGCTTTTGAAAAGGGAAATCATGCCTCACCACTCTATTAGAATTCTCTGAGGGTGTTAACGAACATGTGGACAAGGGTGATCCAGTGGATATAGAGTACTTAGATTTCCAGACAGCCTTTGACAAGGTCCCTCACCAAAGGCTCATACGTAAATTAAGTTGTCATGGGATACAAGGGAAGGTCCTCTCATGGATCAGTAACTGGTTAATAGATAGGAAACTGGGTAGGAAAAAAATGGTCAGTTTTCACAATAGAGAGAGGTAAATAGTGGGGTCCCCCAGGGGTCTGTACTGGGACCGGTGTTTCCTCAACATACTGATAAATGATCTGGAAAAGGGGATGAATAGTGAGTTGGCAAAATTTGCAGACGATACGAAATTATTCATGATAGTTAAGACCAAAGTTGACTGCAAAGAGTTACAAAGGGATCTCACAAAACTGGGTGACTGGGCAACAACATGGCAAATGAAACTCAGTGTTAAGTAATGCACATTGGAAAACATGATCCCAACTATACATACACAATGATGGGGTCTAAATTAGCTGTTACCTGTCACAAAAGGGATCCGGAGTCATTGTGGATAGTTCTTCAAAAACATCTGTTCAATGTGCAGTGGCAGTTAAAAAGCTAACAGGATGTTTGGAACCACTAGGAAAAAGATAGATAATAAAACAGAAAATATCATAATCCCACTTTATAAATCCATAGTGCGACGACACCTTGAATACTGTGTGCAGTTCTGGTCAGCTCAGCTCAGCTCAAAAAAGAGATATTAGAATTGGAAAAGGTACAGAGAAAGGCAACAAAAACGATTAGGGGTTTGGAACAGCTTCCATATGAGGAGAGATTAAAAAGACTGGGACTGTTCACCTTGGAAAAGAGACGACTAAGAGGGGATATGATTGAGGTCTAAAAAATCATGACTGGTGTGGAGAAAATGAACTGGGAAGTGTTATTTACCCCTTCACAGAACACAAGAAGCAGGGGTCCCTCAATGAAACGAATAGGCAGCAGGTTAAAACAAACAAAGGGAAGTATTTCTTCACACAACGCACGGTCAACCTGTGGAACTCATTGCCAGGGGACGTTGTGAAGGCCAAAAGTATAACTGGGTTAAAAAATAATTAAATACGTTCATGGAGGATGGTACATCAATGGCTATTAGCCAAGATGGTCAGAGACACAAGCCCATGCTCAGTGCTGGGGTGTGTGGGGGTGGGGGTCAGTGCTGGGGCATGGCGGGGAGGGGGTCACTGCTGGGGTTTAGGAGCAGGAGGAGGTCAATGCTGCGGTGGGAGGGGATCAGTGCTGGGGTTTAGGGAGCAAGTGCTGGGGTGTAGGTGGGGTCAATGTTGTGGTGTAGGGAGCGAGGGGGTGTCATGGCATCGGCGAATGAGCTTTTCAAAGAGGAAGGTTTTACAGCGTTTCCTCCGGACTCTGGAGTCTCCTGGTCTCCTCTGGAAGGTCACTCCCTAGCCAGGTCCTCTGGCCCGAGAATGCTCTGAGTCTAGAAATAGCGGAAGGAGCCAGCGAGGAGGAAGAGGACGGTGCTGAGCGGTCCTAGGGGATACAAGGAGGCGTCGTGGGATGAATTCCCCCCCCCAGAAAAGCAGACTGTGGGCTGGGAAGCCCTGCTAGCAGGGAGAGTTGTTAGAGCGTGGGGGAAGGGTGGGAACCCGGTAGCTTGGTCATTGGAACTGGACGAGCCAATCGCAGGAGGGAACAAAGCCCACCTGGCCGGCGGGCGATGGACGAGATGCAAACAAACGGGTCTTTCCCCCGACTCCGCACCCACAGCGGCCGGTTAGTCCTTCTCCAGCAATCCCCAAGGGCACCCGCTGGCCTGAATCAGTCTCCTGCCCGCTCAGCCAGAGGAGGACCTGAGGGCGCCCCCTCTAGCCGGGGTTTAACCTTGCACCATGAGGCTCATTGCATGTGCACCAGGGCGGTCGTCTCCCGGGATCACCACGGCCTGTGCTGCCACGTCCAGGTGTGATCGAGTGGTTGTAACAGCCGCGCCACACAGGCCTGCAGCGGGGTCTCCCTGGGACAGACGTGAGGGGAGACACCTGGGCAGGAACCCGGGGGGTGGGTGGGCACGTGCGCTCAGGTGCTTGCCGGCGTGGCCACTAGTGATCAAAACACACGCTTAATAGTGCTAATCACTATTTGCACTGACTGTGTAGCTCTCTTTATTCCCCCTCCCAGGCAGTCTGTCGTTCCTGTCTAGAATTGGTTGGCTTGTGAGAGCAGCACCGGGTAGAGCGGCCCCAAGCCCAGAGCACACGGCACGGCGGCCCACCTTCCCGGGAGCCTCACAGGCTGCTGGCCACCTAGGGACTCCCTCGCGAGCTGGCCTGGCAATGCCGCAGGCTGAGAAAGGAGCCGGGGGGGAGGGGAGTGTCCTGCTGAGGCCCTGGGCCAAGGACCAGGGCACCTGGCTCTGGGTTACAGACCAACTCAAGGGGCGGGTACTGTGGGGTTTTTGGCCGACTGGCTATATCACGGCCCCTTTGTAACATTTGGCCTCATAGGGGGATCTCCCGGGAATGGGTCCTAGCTAAGGAGCATGGCCCCATGTGACAATCCACACCTCTCTGCTGTAGGGATTCCTAGCGCGGGGGGGGGGGTGGTGGTTTATGAGTTAATTAACTCTCAAGGGTCCAGTCCTGGCTCATCCTACAGCTGTGGGCTCTGGGGCTGGAGACCAGGGCGAGCGGTGCCCTTTGTGGTCCGGACGGCGTGTTCAAAGCGCCTCCACTCACTGGGAGGCGAGTGCGGAACTCGTCCAGCGCCTGCTGGCGCGTCTGGCATGTCCCCCACACGCTCCGGCCATTTGCCCTCTCTCTTCGAGGCTTCCAGCCACCAGGAACCACCATAGACTCGAGCGAAGGGAAGGGCCCACCCACCCGGTCCTTTTGCCGGGCGCAGGTTCACGATCGTTCCCTCCAGTCCCTTTTCTAGTGTTTCCCCCTGTCTAGTTGGGAACGGGCCAAGCACCGGGCTCCCACCCTTCCCTTGCGAAGATCTTTGGTTCCAAAGCCTGACACATCTCATGGCCCAGAAGCCTTCCCTGATACTCCCCCCCGGCTTTCCCCTGGCCCTCCACCCGCCTCCAATAGCTCCGCGTCATGCCCCTCTTCTTGCGCCGAGTCATTCGTCACCTGCCTTCCTGCTTCAACCCTTCGGGGGTCTGCAGGCGGTCACCCCTCCTCCCCCATCCTCTTAGCCAAGCGCCGCATATGCAGCTGTTGTGAGCCTTCCTTCCAGGGCCGGTGCAAGGAAGTTTCACGCCCTAGGCCAAACTTCCACCTTGTGCCCCCCCCCCCCCCCCCCCCCGCCACCCCCCCACCCCCCCCCCCCCCCCCCCCCCCCCCCCCCCCCCCCCCCCTGACCCGCCCCCCCCCCGCCGCATCCCCCCCCCCAGGGAGCCATGCGGCAGCTCCCCACCCCAGCTCACCTCTGCTCTGCCTCCTCCCCAAGCACGCCGCCCCCACTCTAATTCTCCTCCCCTCCCAGGCTTGCGGTGCCAAACAGCTGATTGGCGCTGCAAGCCTGGGAGGCGGGAGAAGTGGAGCGGCGACTGCGTGCTCGGGGAGGGGGCATAGGAACGCTGTAAAAAAAATTGGGGGCACCGCTTTTTGGTGCCCCCAAATCTTGGCGTCCTAGGCAACCGCCTAGTTTGCCTAAATGGTAACACCGGCCCTGTGCTTCCTTCTAGGGCCTTGTCGACACATGACTATTAATCGGGATTAGTTAAAGGTGTGACGTTAAAGCAGATCCTGTTGGGACGCTCTCCTTCGGAATGAAAGCAGCCATAATTCTAAACTGGATTAAGGCCGCTTTTATTCCAAAGGAGAGTTACAAGATCCGGTTTAATGAATCCGGCGTAACTATCCCGCTATAGTAATGCTGGTAAATTTCCCCATGCAGACAAGGCCTGAGTCCCTCCCTCCAGCCCACCGCTCATTTTCCGTGGCCCTCCTCTCCGCTCTCTCCAACGTGGTGCAGGCCGGGAGGTGCCCAGATCTGAGCACCATGCCCCAGAGGCGGTCGCACCGTACAGACCTTCGCCGTCGGCTCTGTGATCTCATAACCACAGGGGCAGCTGATCAAGAGGTCATTACACAAAACCGGTGCCCAGTCTCCTCTCTTGGGGAACCGTCCCAGATCTCCCCCAGGCCAGCACCCGACGGCTGCTTGGGAAGCCAGGTGTTGGCTTTTTTTGCTCTTTACACAACAAACATAACCCCAGTGGGATCGACATAACCGTGTGTGCTAACTAGACACGAGGCGCCCGGCCCAGCTCCACAGACGCCCCGCTGCTCCGGACACGCAGCGCGCGTTAGCCCAGTTTTGCGCTGAGCTGCCATCCAGATCAGCACACGGGGCCTGGGTGCCGTCTGGCTTGGGGCGCTCGTCCCCGGGGTGGAGAGTGACCCCTATGCCACCGGCAGCACAGCCCAGCGAGCAGCATTCCAGCTCCTGCTGTAGCTTGCAGGCTGCGCGCCTCGGAGACACCGCCTGGCTCCCGGCTACGAAGCCCGGCTAAGGAATGTGGTGGGTGGCGAGAACCCAGGGAAGAATGCACCCCAGCCCCCCCTGCCCAGAAAGGAGCCGGGAGGATGCGGGGAGCCCCAGGGCTCAGACACAGGGCCCCAGTCACAGACATTTCCCTTCCTTTGCACCAACGGAACTGGGGCTAAAGGGTCCCAAAGCAGGGGCACAGCCCTTCCCCCACCCCTGCAACCCCCACCCTCCCCCAGGGCAGACAGACCCCTGCTGGGCAGGGGCATTGGAGCATTGGAGGGGGCCTGGCTGGGGCAGTCCTGCACCCCAGCTATTTCCTGGGGGCCACAAGACCCATAGGGGCCATGGGCAGCCAGACCCCAGTTAGGGCAGGCCCAGAATCAGGGGTTCAAGTTAACCCTCCACCCTTGGCTCTGGTCTAGGGCAGGGATGGATTCGGCCTGCAGAGAAGAGCCTGGACCCATGGCAGAAGAGGCAATAGCCAGTCCCAGGGACAGGAATGTGTCTCCAGCTGTCTGCCCCCGTCCTGTGCTGGGGGGGGGGTGCCTTCTTCCACCATCCCGTGCTGGAGAGGGGGGCTCTCTGCCTCTGCCCTGCTGCTCTTTCCTCGCCTGGCACACCCTGGTGCTGCAGCAATTCCCGCCCAGGCCCCCCCGTCGCTGGAACTGCCGCTGGCAGCAGGGGTCTGTGTCACAAGTGAGCTGAGTTCCTCCACTCTCAGCGCAGACCGTCCAGGGCCAGGCTGCCCGCGTGCCTGACGCACGGGGTAGGCTGTGCTCCCGGAGGAGATGCCTAGAGCACGCGGTGCCTTCTCCAGCCTGCCGTGGGTAAGCTTAGCAGCGCTGGGTTTGTGGACAGACCAGAGCCCTCACCCGTTCAGTCCAGCCTCCCTCCACCCCATTGGCCCAGCTGGTCTGAGACCCCGCCTCCAGCAGTGCCAGCACCCCAGGCTTCTGAGGAAGGCCAGCACGCCCTAATGCCCAGAGGCAATTGTGAGATGCCATCTAGGGCACGGGGGGGTGGGGGGATCCCTCTAACCCCTGCTGCACTTCTGCCATTGCACTGCCCTGGGCTTAGCCCAGATCGCAGCGCCCTTGGGGCCTCATCTTACCAGACTCTCAAGTGCCCAGGACCCCATGGGCCATCAGCGCGCAGAGCTGCAGACGTTACCAACCATCATACAGTTACCCCCGGGGGCAGGGGAAGCAGCTGCTTCTTTTCCGACCACCCCACAGCCAGGGATCAACCGGAGCAGGGGAGGGGCAGTGGGCGGCGGCACCGCGTCCCGGTCAAGGGGTGCTGTTGAATCAGGACGCCCGGCACTCAGCGGCCGGTGATGAGCCTGACAGAGCCAGCCCCGGATTCCCCCTTCGCACCCGCCAGGCCATTTGGCCCAGCTGCTCTCCCCAGGCGCACACGACTCAGCCTGGGATGAACGGCGGCTGATGTTTTCCCCTGGTGGGCTAGGATGTGGGGGCTCGGGTGTTAGTGGCTGTGTTCCTCCCCCCTCCCCCCCGCCCTCCTGCATAAGTGCTGTGCCAAGCGGGCCGGGGAATTCCTGCCTTTGAGACAGTGGCAGGAGCTAAACTGTGAGTTTGGGAGCCGAGGAGAGGAGATTATGGTGGCTCCCGGCGCTAAGCTAGTCTTTCCGGGCTGGAGCAGTCCCCGGTAATTAGTACGGGAGCATCGTTACACACTGCACCTGGCTGGGCAGAAAGGGGCTCCCCGGGCGGTCCCAGGAGTGAGGCCCCAAGTTCAGATTCCGCCCTGCGCTCATTCACATTCCTGGCTCGGCAGGGAAATCCCTCCTCCAGCACCCGCCAGGGCCTGGGAACTGATGCGGTGCATTGACATAAACCCCCTCCGCTGACAGCAGCTGCCCCGAGGAGAGGTCCCGGGGGGAGCGAGGATGGGAGTATCTAGGGCGGAGGGGAGCCGGGGAGTCACGTGGGAGCGGAGCCCCGGGGTGGGAGTCATTGGGAGCAGGGGCTCATGAGGAAGGAAAGAGGAGAGACGACTGGAGAGGCTGATCAGACATGTCCTAAGGGGCCCGTCCCCACCCTGGGTCTGCTCCCAGGGCAGACTGGCACCAAGGCATTGCAGAAGTTCTCCCAGCACACCCTGCACTTCACCTTCCCCATCAAACCTGCCCTGCAGCCTCCTGTCTGCTCCTTGCCTCTGTCTTTCCCTGGTCCCACCCGCAGCGCCGCCCTCTGCTAATCGGAGAGGACTGAATTCCTTCACCGCGCTGGATTCCAGCTAGCATTTTTGTGGCTTGCCCTTTCCGCTGCACCTTCGAGCCTGGGTGGAACGAGATCGTTTGGGGTGCAAAATGCAAACCCGTGGAAAACAGAGCCCTGTTTGGGTGAGGCCCTAGCCAGTCCAGGCCGACCGGCTCCTCAGAGGCATATGAACCGCCAGGGCCGGAGCTCACTGAGGCCAGCATGACATGAGAGTGACGCCATTGACATCAGTGGGTGTCTTCTGATTCCCACCGGTGTCTGTGAGCTGAGA